AAAAACACTCTTCCTAGTGAACGTAGTAAATTCAGTCATGCTGTGCAAGGTGCTGAGAATGAGTTATGGAAGAGTGTTCATCGCTAAAAAATCTTTATTTGCATTATGTTCTCTAATGCTCTCTACATCTCAGGGAATATTGATGGAGTAGATTTTGAAAGAAAGATTGGGAGAAAGGCTGGGATGCTAGTTTTAGGACCTTTGCAATTACAACTTCAAAGCAGTCATAGATGGCTGCACAGAGACTTCATAAGAATGATTCTGTTACAGTCAACCATAGATGGAGGAAGATATCAGGGGCTCACTGACTTCCTCTTAAAGGTTCAGGAGGAGGAGGAGTCTTTACTTTTGTTTGTATACTCACTGGTGACACCACCAGGCTCCATGATTGGTTCCAACTCAGTGTTTCCACAGATGTCCCTTATTAAACTAAATAGGTAACAAAATAGGTAGCAAAATAAGACCAAGGTTCATGAATCTGGGAAAGAAAACAAACTACTGTGGGTAGGGATGTAAGAGAAGATTAATTAATTCTGCTTGAGATCGAAGCAAAGGTAAGTGAGAGAGGAAAAGTTAATCATAATATATTATGTTTATGAACATGTATGAAATTTTCAAAAAACAAAATTGATAAAAGAAACTAATATAAGATTGTATTATTTGAAATATGCAATTAATGTGTTTTACTTTTAATACATACATATACATGTAATGTTTACATATGTAGAAATACAGTCTACATTTCTTAAAGGCTTTTAATGACTACATTATCTTGACATCAGAACTTTAGAAACCAATAGCCTTATTCGTCTTCAAAAGGAGATCCCATGAGGAGAGATCCCACTGTCTACATCTTTATGAAGATGATGAGTCCTTTTATTTGTATGGTAAACATTTTGAGAATGGACAAAGGGACAGAAAATACTTTGAAAACATAGATGAGGGCGTTATTTTTAATTTGAGCTTTCAAGTTACTGAAATAACATCATGAAAATGTTTATGTTAAACTAGAAGGAACTAAAGCTATCTCCATGGTTGTTTACATTAAGTTTACGTATCTAGTATACTCAACTTCTTTGCCATAAGCATTAATGAATTTGGAACATTGTAAGATGAGTTATAGAAAAAGTTTTCTTGTATGTTTGTTTAGTAAATAATAAAACTGATATTTGAAGACTGCCAACACCCCACTTGTTAAAACAGAATTTTGTTATCTGTTATACTGTTATCATAAGTATAAGTTTTTCTCTCTAGTATGTCCTTTCTGCCTTGATATCATGGTGAACTATTTCATAAAAATTTTAATACTTGTATCAACTCATAAAAGAAGATGTTTTACTAACTCCCTTAAGACTTCAAGCAAGCATGATTCTTCTCCTCTCTGATCATATTTCTATAATGATATATAGTGTAATTAAATTTTCTAGAATTTATAAGTTGAAAAAAATTAGTTACAAAATTTAAATATATTATAGAAATAATACTTATCATTATAGAATTACTAGCATATTTTACAATTACTATAATTATAAAATGTTTGTTCTGTGTATTTCTATTCTTTTTTAAAAAGGGAAATATGGTATTTTCTTGGGAAGTGATATAACTCTATCCTATGCCAGTTTAGAAAGTCCCTTGGGGAGTTGGAGATTCTTTGTAAAAGATTAAAAGGGTCACAACATAGTGAATTGTTGGAAGATGAGTTTGGTTGGTGTTTGATATCCTAAAATAGTTCATGGCATATTGGGGTCCTGTGAAAATATGTGAGTGATAAACACATGGGTAAAAGAATATTTAATGGGCATTTTCATTCTCTCTAAACTCAGGAGATTACATTCTATATATTTTTTTTAATCAAGGATACAAAGTCTTTTCTCTCATTGTTTTTTTTTCTGTACGATTTTTGTGTTTTTTTTTTCCCATTGTGCAGATTTTTTTCTAATCTTCTTCCCATTTTAAGAAAACACATGCATAAAATTGACTTAAAGTAACACAGTAGCATTTCCCATCTCTCATATGCCTGTACATTAGTGCTTAGAGATAAGTAATATTTATCTCTACGCCTAAGGTTAATGGACTACTGCCATAAATATTACAGGGACAGCAAGTAGTCAAAATCACTGAAGTTTTCTGCCCATGGCTTGAACACTTACATGTTGATGACAGTCAAAGTCATATCAACCACGATCAGAGGCTATGACCTATTCACCTACAGTGCTTGTTGAGTCTTCGGGAAGTAAGGGATATATGTATCATTTGGATCAAATCATCCCTTCATAGACGACTATAGAGTCAAAAATACAGAAATGATAAGAAGAAAGAAGGAGGCCGGGCGGTGGTGGCGCACGCCTTTAATCCCAGCACTCGGGAGGCAGAGGCAGGCGGATCTCTGTGAGTTCGAGACCAGCCTGGTCTACAAGAGCTAGTTCCAGGACAGGCTCCAAAATCACAGAGAAACCCTGTCTCGGGGAAAAAAAAAAAAAAAAGAAGGAATGAAATCATACCTGAAATTTGAAGAATATTCAATATACATAAACACTTCTTAAATCAAGAATACCATGATAGAAAAACATAATAAATAAAGTTACTGTCACCTGCACAATTAGCGAAGTGAGATGATGCATGTTTTCTTGTAGATATTGCTTGGTTAGACCCTTTGTGTTTTTGACAAACTGGAAAGGAATATGTATTTCCTTTTTGTTCTTAGAAGTGAATTCCTCAGTCATTAGTCACAGTTTGACAAGAATAAATTTTATATGAATAATTTTACCCTTATTTTATCGACTAAGATGTGCTCTGACTTGTCAACCATCATCCCCTGTCATTATTCTGCAGTTTTTCTATTTTAGACGATCCAGAAAATTTCTGGGCTCTCAACAATCTTTATTAAAAACAAAAAAGCAATAATAATTTAAAGGTCATGCCTATTTTATTGCCCTTTTGAAATATGGTAAAAGTCCTTTTGCAAGGAACTAAAAAAGATTAGGGAAGAATATTTAACACTTACCTAAACTATTTCTTCAGGATTCAATCACATATATTAAAATATATTTCATTTTACTAGCTATTTCTAATATCATTAGTAACAGTCAATGAGTCAAAGATATTAATCATAAATTGGTCTCTAGGTTAATAACAAGTATATCAAAATATGGTTAAAAATAAGGTCATTAAAGTTCATAATGTGTGTGGCATGCACACACACACACACACACACACACACACACACACACATATATATATATATATATACCAAAGAGGATTAATTACATCTTACACATTCTGGGAATTTTGACACATATTTAATAAAATCATTTCAACCTAATTCTTGTAAGTAGAACTGCTCAGAAACAAAAGGCTAACTGAAATCAAATCTGATTATTCAGATGGGCTGTTAAGGATTAGTAGGAAAGAGATTGTTTGTGGCAGTCAGAAGATAAATCAGACATATTACTATGGGGCCTTTCAGGTTCTCCTCAGAGTAAATGACCAGGATGGGAAGTAGAGTATGTGGGATGGTATAGGAAGTTGATGGACAGGAGGCTTTAGCGGCACGTTCTGTCATCTGGAGTATAGTTCTCATTAACGTAAGGAACAAAAGAAAGACTTGCAGATTGAAACCTGAAATAACTGCGGGCGGAATCTGAGCTCCAGGTCCCATATTTATTCTTTCCACTGCTCTTCCTGTTTCTAGTGAACACAAACAGAGAACTCATATTGATAAGTGGACATTAGACTGGGAACCCTGTTTAGAACCCACCCTACTACTGAGGTCTCAGAGAAGTTCTTCACGTGAATCAGAATATAAAGATGGTTTCTCGTTATCTAATTGCAAGTAGTAAGTGAAGTTAAAGGGAAATTTAGTTCATTCAAATAATAGTGAAGAATTTTAATTGACAAAATGCTAAATAAACCAGCATAGGACCTTTAAGGAAGCATTACAACACATTGAGAGGAGTTTTTTTCCTGCATATTTCCACAGGCACTTTTAAATTTACATTTTATTTAATTTCTTGGTATGGATTTCTTTTAAGTAACAAAACAAGTTAAGAAAGGTGTTATGCAAAATAAAGATCAGAAAAATAAATAAAGTTGAATTAAAACTTTTAACAGTGATTGGTGAACAGATCTGGAATGGCAGAAAATTGACTCCAGGATGTTGTTGATAAACTTAAAATGTGAACAAAAGACACAGAAGATGTTGGGACTAATGAGTCCTGGCCTTCAGCTTCTCTTCCCTCCTCGAACCTTCTAATTGAAGTTACTAGAAGCTGTGCCTAGCTTAGAGGATCAGAGGATGGGATTTTCACCTGTTGGCCATTGACTGCAATGTATTTAAGCCTACATGGTGCTAATAAAGAGGGGCTTTGGTATCAGTGTTTAAAGGTCTGTGTGTCTGTCTGTCTCTGCATCTGTGTTCTCAACCTCCAGCCCCTTGCCCGAAGCTCGCGAACTGGGGTCTAGCGCATAGAGCACAGACCAGGACCACGTTGTGCGGCAAGAAGGCAGAAGATGAAAACACAGAGAGAAGTTAATGTTGACATAACTCAAGGTTTGTCTCAAATAAGAAAAATCACGCTGCAGGAAAATCCAATCAGGAGCATTTACTAAAAAACACACCTAATAGCTAGGGAATGCCTTGTGTATCCACACCTTACTCATTCCAAAATAATAGCTAAATACAAGAATTAGTCAAACATGATTCAGAAATATTTTAATGAAATGATACTAGATTGTCACATGTGATCAAATGTGGTTCGAGAACGAAGGGCTTTAAATACTACAGCATGACTTCAAAATTAGCTAAGCCAAAATTTACATATGGTGGTGTTGGCTACTCAGACTGAGGACATTATACCCTTTGCCCTCCATTCCCAAATGATAACTATTCCTTAGAGCCAGAGAGTAGATGCTGTATTTGTGCAGGTTCTAGGTTCTTTCTGAAAACCCAACCTACTACTGTGTACTTTCTTTTTTTCTTTTCTTTTTTTTTTTTTTTCTATACATAACAACTTTACTTCAGGAGCTAGTTCAGTGAGTGGGCTCGTGAGAGGGTCTGGTCTGGATCAACGAGGTCTTTGTGGCACTGGGAACAGAAGGCACTTGGTAATGCATCATGGTGTGTGTGTAGTCCACCGTGGCTCCTGTCAGGAGTGGCAGGCTTGTCACGGTGCTTGTGAGGAAGACACAGTTGAGTCCCACAGCACTCGGGACACATTCTCACTCTCAGTCACTGATCCCCGGGTCTGCAGCGCTTCTTCCACCAGGTCAGCCACCAGGTTCAGCTGACACATCCGCAGTGCGTTCACCAGTTCAGACACTGTGGCTTTCTCTCTCTCGACAATCTTCCAGACCCTCAGAGTCTCCCTTACCTGCTCACTCAGGCTTCGGGGGTACCTCTCCTCAATCCCGTCAATTTTGACCTCAGACAATTTTAGCACGCGGGCCAGTCTCTTCCAGTCTCTCCCCACATTGTCACACACGATGTCAAATGCCACCTGCAGATCTCCCCCGGCGAGGTCGAGACCGCCAGCCCCGCTTCGTAGTTGTCCAGGCGTTGCAGTAGGTCGTGCCTGCGCAGCGAGGCCAGCAACTCGCGCAGCAGCCCGGTATGATCGCGGTTCAGATCGTTCTGCTCCAGCAGCACCGAGAACAGGTCCAGGCCGCTCTGCATGCGCTCCAGCTTGCGTTTGCCCACGCGCTCACGGCACAGGAACTTGAGCTCCATCAGATCGCTGCTCGACAGGCTGCCGGAGAGGGAGTGCAGAAGCACCAGGAAGGGATCCATGGCAGCTATGGGCCTGGCTACTCTCAGTGATTCCACACCTACTGTGTACTTTCAAAGAAAGCTACTGGAATCTGTAAACCCCTGCTCTCCCAGAAAGAAATAAGTAAGTGCAGGCTGAAAATCCTCATAACAATGTGAACACAGGACATATAGATCTTTTTTTTGGGTGGGGGACAATTATTTACAGAGATATAGAATTTTTTTTGCAAGCAAATTTACTGAAATCATGTATTGTCTTTCCAAAGAAAACTCATCCTAAAACTTCTGTTCTACAAGGGAAGACGACAGAAACTTCCCTTTGAAGAGAAATGATTAAATTCGATATTGTTCAGCTTCAGTGACTCTTCTAAAATTGTGGTAAAAAAAGATTACATTTAAAAACACCACCAACATGTTGATGAAATTATACATAAATCTTTTGTTATTCAATCACTTATCACAAAAGAAGCCTCTCTTTACAGCAAGCTGAGGTTCAGAAGGCCCCCACAGTACACAAAGGAGAGACCAATAGGTTTTATGGAACCCAGTCCCCAATGGATACATATGCATCCCAGTTCCTTTACAAACATTGTGGTAACATTGTGGAAGAAGGTGACAAAAAGCTCCCAAGACTCAAAATACTTGGGAGTCTTTTGTAAAATAATCACGGCTGAAATGGTGGCATAAACAAGATTGGAACTATGACAATATAAGTGGACATGCTAACAGAGAAAAGGAAAAATTAGGGGTTCATAGATGAAAAACTACAGGCAACTAATGACTGCTAGGAGGAGAATTAGCCTCTCCCAGAGGTGAGCCCTCTTCTTGATTGTCCAATGCAGAGTAGTCAGCCCTGAAACTATTTATGCATATATATAAATATATATGCACTCAGTATGTTGTATTTATATATTCATATATATGCACATATATAACAACCAATAAAGTAAAAAGAGGCTAAAAACTTAAATGTGTGGGAGGAGAGTCAGGAGTGGTAACACATACCCAGAAAGACAAATATAATATGTATTCATTCAGAAGTGACTTTTAGATGTAATGCAAAGAAAAAACAGCCTACAGTCTACAACTCCAGAGAATCTAGACAACAAAGAGAACCCTAAGAGATATACATAGATATACATAAGAAGGAGAAAAAGACAAGATCTCCTGAGTAAATTGGGAGCATGGGGGTCACAAGAGAGAATAGAAGGGGAAAGGGGAGGAAGGGAGAGGAAGGAGAAAATATATAGACACAATAAAAATAATAAAATAGAATACAACATGTCATTAATGACAAGTGAAAACATGATGAATATTAGTTTTATAGAGAGAAATGACATAACATACATACAAGCCTGAAGAATACTGAAAAGAAACAGTCAGAAGAATTACAGAATTTCAGCAAACTTAAAAGATAAAAGTATCATACAAAACTGAAGAGTATTTCTCCATGCTAACATTGAAGTGTCTGAAACAGAAGCTGGGCAGGCTCTCATTTTCAGTACTACCAGACATTATAAATTACACGGGAATCATTTTAACTACAACAAAGCCTCAAAAATAAAAACATGATGGCAGAAATTACCAAAGGAAAAATAAATGAAAAAAACAACCTGTTTATGTTGAAAATACAGCAGCAAAGTATCCACATGCTATGATTTTCAGTTTCAGTAAGTCTCTAACACCCCAGTGATTATTTCAAAGAGATAGGAGAATACATTGCTAAAATGGTAACACACCAAACCTAAAGCAAGTTTGTGTACACAGAACAGAGGTAGAAGTATCACATTTTCTAATTTCAAATGTGTAGACAAAAGTTTCTGTCCTGCCCCATCCCTCATTCATTCAGTTCCAAAGAAACACACAGAGACTTCTATTAATTCTAAACTTTGGCTTATTAGCTTAGACTTATTATTAACTAGCTCTTACAACTTAAATTAACCCATAATTCTTCTCTATGTTTAGCCATGTGGCTTTGTTCCTTTTTTATCAGTGAGGCTTTCTCATCTTGCTTCCTCTGCATCTGATTGACGACTGCATCTTTGCCTTTTGTCTTCCCAGAATTCTCTTAGTCTGGTCACCCTGCCTATACTTCCTGCCTGGCTATTGGCCAATCACTGTTCTATTAAACTAATATGAATGACAAATCTTTATAGTGTACAAAAGCTTTGTCCCATAGCACAAGTGATATTATCAAGTTATTATAATAAAAACAGTAAGCTACATGGGTAAAACCAGACACAGAAAACAGTAACTCTATAGAAGCAAAAATTCCCATATATTAAATAGTGATCAAGAAAGGTACCAAGGATATTTGGTGAAAGGTATCCTCTTCAGTGAAAATTATAAATCATATAACCACATACAAAAATAAGTGAAGTTTTATTTTGAAGTATACATAAATAACACAACAGATTAAAATGTGGAACTTGAAGATTCAGACCATAACACCCCTAGAAGAAAGTGGCAAATAACACCATAAACATGGCTGTGGCCGTGATTCCACGTCTGTGATAGTAAGCTGTGGTAGTGCATGCTGGCAGGACATGCCGAAGAAGTAGATGCAGGAGGTCCCCAAAGTTTCAAGTTGGACTGGATTTATGCAGGCGTGGTCACACATACAGAACTTTAATCTCAGCACTTTGGTTGCAGAGGCAGGCATATCACTGAGAGTTCACAACCAGCCAGGTCTACGTAGCAAGTTCTAGGATAGCCCAGGGCTACATAGAGATATCCTGTATCAAAAACAATCAAATATTCAGCAGCATTAGTAACACAGGAAAACAAAGAAAAACAGGTCTATGATGGCTCAGGAATTAAGCACAGTAGCACTCACATTATAGCTCACAATTGCCTAAAGCTCTAGTTCCAGGGGACTTGACACCTTTTTTTGGCCTCCATAGGTATTGTACCCATGTGTTACACTTACATACATGAAGGCAAAATATTTAAATGCATGCACTAAATAAATCTTAAGCGAAAAATATAGGTAACCAAATCAAAAATAAACTAATGGCAGTATATAGATCAAGATCAAATTCATTAGGAGCAGAAGAAATAGTAAATTAAATGCAAAGGCAGCCAGTAGTGGGAGGAAAGAATATGCATGCGATGAATGTGAAGACACGCACCCATTTAACCTCATGCCTCTGCTACTTTTTGTAAAGAGAATATTATGTACACGTTACGTGTACTTTGTGACACTTCAATACATGTATCAAAATCTGATTAATAAGTATTTCTATCTCTTCCGAAAGTAGTTATTTCTGTGCCAGCAATTTTATATTATTTTAGTGACTTTGGGATATAGCATAAATCATTTTAACCAAGGAAAAGCAGAAGTAATGCCTCCATGTGAATTATGTTTCTCAACTTCTCCCCTGTCCCTACTTTCTTATCTTTTATAGTCTCCAGTGATCATTCTCTTAGTACATTGTATAAAATTGACTTATTAGCTACCGCAAGTGAATGAAAACCTGTGTTTTGTGATCACTTGCTGTTGCTTCCAACATGCATGTTGTAGATGATGAAATTTCATTCCTTCTAGGACTGAATAATACTCGATTGTGTGTAGATAACACATCTTCTTTACTATTACCGAAGTAGTAAACAACTAGATTGATTTCATATTTAAACTATTGTGGATAGTGCTGAAAGACACGGGACTAAAAGTACCTGTTTGGTCGTATGATTTCCTTTCTTGGCTGTGTGCCCAGTACTAGAATTGCTACATCATATGGGAATTATACCTTGGGATCTGTTTTATGCTTTTTTTCTTTAAGGATGTCCTATACCATTTTCCAAAATGGCTGCATTCATTGACATCTCAACAGCAGTGTGTGAAAAAATTCTTTCTTCATTAACTTTTGGTTGTGTGTGTGTGTGATAACATTTTTTCAGATTTCATTTGAAATAATGGGGTGAGAGTGTTTCATTGTGATTTGGATTTGCATTTTCCTAATGCTTTGAAAAATTGATCATTTCTTTCCTGAGTTAAACTTTAACTTTGCAATCAGGAATTTGGAAGTCTTATATCTCCACTCCCACTAAGAATCACTTTGACTATTTAAGTATGTGATTTCTTTAGAATTTTAGACATATTTTTCTGAAGCTGCAAATAAAAAAATGATATTTTGTTGGTGTTATAATGAATCTATACATTGCATTAGTTGATCAAATCATTCATCTCCATTAATTCTTTCAAACTGTGACACTGAACGTCTTTCATTCACTCTGTCATTCAGCAGTGTCTTACAATTATGATTATAGAGATATTTTACATTTTGGTTAAATATGTTACGAGCATTCTATTCTAGGTATTGTAACATAGATTCCATTTTATTTTATTTATTTTTCTGAGTTTAATACTGCTATATATATGTTGCAAGTTTTTCTTTACATGGTCATTCTGTATTTTCTAACTCACTAGATTTATTTTTGAATTGCAGCTGCATTTTTAGGCAAAAATAAGATTTTTGTACGTAAAACATTATTAAAATTAGAGTAAAAATTATTTCATCATGACAGTTTAGATGTCCTTTCTTCTTTCATTTTTTTTCTTGCTAAGAATTTCAACATGTTAATAAAGAAAATTGGTAAAGACAGACATTATTTATTTATTTGTTTGTTTGTTCTTGCTCTTAGAGGAAATTCTTTAGCTTCTCACTTTTCTCGCCTAGAATGTGAGTACTAGGTGAGTACTGACTGTAAGTCTTACACACACACACACACACACACACACACCTATTTTGTAATTTGACATATGTTTCTGCTATAGCAGACTTGTTAAGAAATTTTATTATGAAAAAATATTGGTACTTATAAAATGCAATTTCTTATCCAATGAGAATGTATAAACAGAGTCACTTTGTCACTTAGTCATCCCATAACACTTGCTAACATCATCAAATTTGTAACAAAACTTAACACTGGTCTAGTTTTCTCCCAAATACTCAGATTTTCATTGTGTTGTCCAATTCTTAAAATAATGCCCAAGAGATTATCTGTTGTTCTGGTGACAAGATACTATAGAGAGCATGGTG